TTACGTTCCTATGTATATCTACAAATTAGACATGTGGTCATGAACACTTAGTACTTCTAGTGAAAATTATTCAATAAAGAACAGCTAGAGGTACGTCCTGTGTGATCGAGGATATTAAGGCACTTACTAAGAGGCAGTCCCGATCATTCTTACACATGCTACCACTGATGAATCCTAACTGACTTAAATTGGCTCTTTAATTTAAATTTAATGCACGATAAAGACACTAAATGTACATAAAAAGATTGGAATAGTCGCTAAATGTACATTTGTACATATTTGATCAATATTTCAGTACGTTTTCATCGACAAAAAGGGTGAATGTACATATAGTGACTTTTCCACATTTTCAATGTACATTTAGCGACTTTGTTCTAGTTTAAAACATAGAAATATCCATCGATGTTTACATATTTTTCAGTTATTTACCGTAGTGTACTGCTTCTAGACTGTCTAATATTTGCTTACTATCCAGCGACAGGACTGTAACTATTCCATACTACCTCATAGTGGCTAATACTACCCTAAAGTTAGCTACACGCTCGTTACTATACTCAGACTTTATTGATTTTCTTATTCTCGAGCTATTACTATGGCTAAAGGAAATTCTAAAGGCAAGGGGCCGCCAGCTCTAAGCCTGCTAAGCCTGTTGAGATTCCTGAGATTACTGGGGACGCTGGTCCCTCTGGTACTGAGCCTGCCGTTGAAGCTGTAGAGGAAGCCGTTTCTGAGCTTAGTTCTGAGGAAAACTCTGAGGATGACTCGTTGGACCCTAAAGCCTTGGAAGTAGAGGTCTCAACTGCCGCGGAAAGGCTCGCCAGCGTCCGTGTGTCTCCTAGTAGTGCAGCCCAGGGCCACAGCTCGCCATCTGACCGCGAAAAGTCAGATATTGGAAAGGCTATATCTCCTGAACAAGTGGAGAAATCGTCTCGAGATCGATGGTTTATTACTACTAAAATTCAGCCCAATCAACCTATTAACAAAGATGATGGCGTTCCATTTCGTGAAATTTCATTGACTGCCTCGCCACTGAATGCCTCGCCACTGAATGTTGGGGCGGAAGACGCAATTGTTGGGGACGCCATAACTCGACAACGAGTGGTTGGATCTTTCAATCTCGACGCCATTTGAACCGCAAAGATGAGCTTTTAAAGGAGCTAGCCGCTGCCACAGCTTCTGACCCTTCGATTATATCCCACGTGGCCGATATACTTCCTATATCGAAGGAAAAATATATTCCGAGCCGGGTTTCAAATCTGGGACCCACTGGTTTACCAGCCAGCAGGGTTACCACTGAGCCAGTTACCGCTGGTGAAGTGTGTAAAACCACAAGATTTAATTTCTATAGCTCGGAAGCTACAATCGACCATCCTCTCGACAAACCTAACCCTG